GATTTGTGATCTTTTGACGTATCGTTGAAAAAAATCGGTTCGGTGAGAGCTGAGAAAAAGTGGTAACAGACACAAAAAAAAAATAAATAAACACATCTTAGTAAAATCAACACCTTCTCAGCTTCGCATCAAAGCTAAAAACTAGTTCAAATTTCAAAGTTATTTTAATGACTTAAAGAAAGCAAAAAAATTTAAATAAGTTTAACTTTCTATACTATATCAATTAGATTTTGTTTGAGTGTTTCTTTAACTAAAATTTAAAAGGTGAACACTACTTGCGTGTCGTGATATGTATATAAGAAAAGGATTGTCGAAAGATGTTTAGAGTTATATTATTATTTCAAAGTAAAACATCTTATATAAAACATAAAAAAATCTTAAATTAATTAAGGCTATATATACACAAATATACTTAATATATTCATACACAAATTACCAATAAAATATACAATAAATGTGACCTGCATGTCCATGGATGACAGCGACCTTGATTGTGGCTGGATTGCCAATTACTGGAGACTTGGTACAGAATTCGTTCCACAGCGTGGAAATGAAGTTAACTCGTCCAGACGGTGGCGAATTTTGGCGTATGCGAAACTATGCGCGTATACACCTTTGCGATGCTTCAAAAGAGCACAAAAGAAAAATAATGAGAAACGATAATATACTATTCAGTATCAACGATACTCAAGCGAGCATTTGATTGCTAATGAATAATGATTCGTTTAATCGAGTCGTGTGGAACTCGTCAAATTATTTTTACCAGCGGTCAATCACATATTGATGGGGCGGTCACAACAAAGACACCATATGACTATATACGCAACAGATTAATATAATATTAATTAAAATTCGTGTCCTCCCGTAAAGAGTATTGTAAAATAAAATACAAAACTCAGAATTTAACACAAACAGAGCATTCTTTTTGAATACGGAATATGTCGAATGAAAAATAATTTGTTTGTTTTTAAAAAAGTTATGGCAGTTTTAAGGAAAAAAATTGATAAAATGTCGTAAATGAACGATTTTTTAAATTGTAATTTTTTGAGGAATTACTCCCGTTTATGAGGAACGAGGGAATTTTTTTTAATTTTTGAAGGGAATGTTTTCGACTTAATACAATTTGTGATCGTTTGACATATCGTTAAAAGAAATAAAAGGTGAGAGCTGTGATTGAGCATTCACAGTCACAAAAAAAAAACACATTATAGTAAAATTAATACCTTCTTAGCTTCGCATCGAAGCTAAAAGGGTAGTGTATAACTCGTTTAGCTGCACTACAGTACAGGTTGAATCGTGATCTACGTATTGTTCATCAAGTGAGAGCTCAGATTGAGTAGTATTAGAAAAAAAAATAAAATACAACACATAATAAAACTATTGTCTTCTCAGCTTCTTAACGAAGCTAAAATATTGTTAAGCCTACAATTTTTATAATTAGAGAATATTTGTCTTTGGGTATCCACCGACCTTCAAGAACAGAAATACTGATAAAGCACGGCGATTATACGTTCGAAAATCGACTCAAGCAAAGTAAAATATTACCATAATATACAAATATACAAAAAAGAAGAGCGATAACTTTTGTTGTATTACAACTATTTTTAAGAAAAATTAATTATTTTATAATAACATAATTGCAATATTTTATTAAGTCATGAATAAAAAATCAATATTAAATATTTTATAAATAATTAATCAAAATATAAAAACAAATCATTGAAACCTAAATACTCATAATCATTTTTCACAACCTTTAAAAAAAATGATTCCAAATAATCACACATAAAATGATGAAATATGCTACATTCTGTTAAGGTATTGGTTTTAATCAATTGTTCAAATGTTGTAATTATGTCTGTTTCATATTCTATAGTTTTGCAATATTTCATGTTGTATTGGCTTACGTCATAAAATTTTCTCTGTAAAACAGAAGTATGAACTTGTGCTAGGTCTTCAAGGAATGATTGAGCTTCATAAAGTCCACCATTAATAAATAACAATGTGGAAAAATACTTTTTTCTAATATCATTAAGAAATTCAATAAAAATCTCTACCAGTTTCTCTGTTAATAATTCTTGACGCATATATTGTTTATCTATCGTGTAGTGTCTCATAGTAAGGAGAGCAAATAACATTTTTTTAAACATATCATCAGATGTCATTAGTGTTTTATAAAGCTTAACCGCACAATTAATTTTATTTTCATAGTTACAAACATTAATTATATGTCCCAACATTACATTAAAATTATTAAATATTTCAATATAGCGACATCTTAAAATAAGTGCAAGATATGACTGCATAAAATCACAGTTATTCATATCAACTACTTGTAAAATATCTTTAAAATACAGTTGTATTCCTTTTGTATATTCAGTTTCAACAGCTATATGTTTCCATGACATCCAACCAGAGTGAGATAATAAATGATTACACAAATCAATACCTCCATTACTGCTATATTTCTTACTTTTGAAATAAATATACCTGTATAGAAAAAAAAAGTCATGTATGATAGCTCAAAATTATTATCATAAAAATTTTACCTTTTAAAAAATAAGTGACTAAAATGATGTTTACAGAATAAAATTCTTATATTTAGGCAACTAAACTATAAATCTTACTTGAACGTATTTGTTCCATTTAATTGTTGAAAGCCTAGTTTTGAGTAACAGTTTTCAGTTCTATCCAAAATATATAATTCAAGATCTTTATGAACATCATTAATATAATCGTAGGAATCCTCTACCAGCTTTTCCATTTGATCGATATTATATTTCTTCATTAAATTGATTAAAATAGAATTTTTATGTTCTGTCCCACACACTTTTCTAATATTGTAAAGATTTGATAACACTAATTCAGCTTTTTTATTGAAATCTTTTATATTTTCAAAAGTACTGACCCATTTATCAATAGTAGAAAAATTAAAATATGAGTCATTGCTTAACTCTAATGTATATTTGTAAAAATAATTTATTCCAGAATCTACAGTTTTAATATTAAGAATAGGCGAGTCTATAATTCGTAGATCGATTTTGTCGAGATATTTTGCTGTTTTCAACATTTTTTTAAACATATTTACTGAACAATTGTAAATATTAAAAAGTAGCTTTATGCAATATTTCAATTCCACACATTGATATTTTAAAACATTAACTTTACACTTATTTAAAATAAGGCCTAACATTGCATTGAAAGTTTGCAATATATTAGTAAATTCACAATTTAAGAGACAAGTTATAAAGTAGAGTTTTTGTATAAAGTTAGTTTCATCGATAATTTCACTTGTGATGNTATAAAGTAGAGTTTTTGTATAAAGTTAGTTTCATTGATAATTTCACTTGTGATGCTTATGGTGTTAATTGTGATGTGCTCAAGTTTAATTTCTGTTTGTTGAATTGAGTTCCATCCATTTTGAACACGAATGTGGTTTAATGAGTTAATAAGATATTTTTTAAAATTTTTACTTTGAGAATCACAATATACATTTATAATTTGACTTAATTGCCAATATAAGAAAAACTCATATAAAATAATTTTTTTAAACATGTTTTTTTAATTTTATGAGACGAAATTTATTATATTATATATCTATGAATAAAATAATTTAAAATTCTTTTTTATATAGCTGTTACTTTATTGAATAGAAAAAGAACGACATAATTTTTTTTATAATCATTTTAACTGCAATTGGTGATTTATTCAATATTTAATTACTGTCTAAATGTGTATCTATAATGTAAAATATTTTTAGAAATATTTATGACGTAGATATATATATATAGAAATTGAAGTTCAAATTGCTTTAAAATTCATTGTCATGAAAATGGTTAAAAATTTTAAAAGTTGTATTTATTTAAAAAAATATGAATTTGAAATTTTTATTTCAATAAATTATTTTAATTGACAATTTCTAACATACTTCTTAAACGTCTAAAGACTGTCAAAAAAATAAAAATTTTAAAAATTGTCAAACATTAAATTTATAAGAATCAATAATTGTATTATTTATGTCATAAGGCGAAAGGGAAACATGTAAAGGGGATTGTCGTAAAAATNAGGGAAACATGTAAAGGGGATTGTCGTAAAAATTATGTGAACATTTAAAAATTAGTGTTTATTGCGTTTCGTAAATAGAATAGAACTATTCGAAAACTGACACTTTATATCCATTGTGTTATTAAAATTGTGAGTGTGTGTGTGTGTGTGCGACAAAAGTCATGGTTTGACTACTGGTCCTTTAGTCAATTTTAACAATTAGTGTGGATGCTGACTAGTTTTTGGGTTTAACTGTTCTTTAGTAGGTATAATGAAACGGTAGCTGTGCTGGTGGCTGCCAACCCAACCTTAAGTCTGCTACTTTTGAGCTAGACCGTGCTGACGGATCTTAACTTTTGGGGCTGACCAGTGTATTCAACGAGAGGTCTTGAGAAGAGCAAAAACGACGAACTTGTCCTTAAAGATATTGGTTATTATTAAGCACTATTTTTGTGTCTACGTTGGGGTATTACCGACTTACGACATATATCGGAGCCCAACTCGATGTTCTTACTGATAAGATCCCTCGATGTTTTTTCCTCTTTTTGTTGTATCGAAATTTGCATGTGCAATTTGTGTAATTTCGCGTCAATAAGGTGATACGTCAATCATTGCAGTACAATGATTAACTGAAACCATAGGCCAGAAGACCCATGGTTAGTGCAAAATATAAATATATAATATTATTTAGTTATTAAATTTTATCATTCAATAATCTCCCTGAGAGAGGGAAAAATTGTGTCTATGTGTACAATTTTTCAATTTTGTATTTTTGGGGATAAGACTTATTCATAATTAGACACATTAGCTTTCGACATAATACTTTCTGATAAGGAACTTATCAATATTTTAGACAACGGAATATCAAAATGGATTGACTTATTTAATGAACTGACCAAAGAAATAAAACTTAATAAAAAAACACTCACTGTTCAATAAAATTTAGAATATAAAATGTGACTGATCAATAAATAATACAACACAACATTAATTCTTAATATTAATACAAATGAATGGGGATAATGGAATAGAATGACATGGAATGAATTAGAATGAAGTAGAATTATGATATGGAATTACACAAGTGTGTAATTAACTTATATTAAACCATCACTGACGAAATGAGATCTACAGTGAGAGTTCTTCGCCTACCGTTGCCCTAAATCCCTTGGTCTGCACATTTCTGTGGCCGATGACAGTCGAACGACTATGTATTTTATATTCTACGCAATTACAAAATAATACTCAAGGGCTCTCAACATCAATTTTATCACTCTGAGTAGTAAATTTATTACTTAAATTTTGGAGTAACCACGCAGTTAATGTAGAGTCCTAAGAAATATTTAATTAAAAATAAAAACTCAATACTACCTTTTCTATTAAAATGTGAATATAGTGACGTAATGCAAACATTTTATGTAATTTTTAGCTTTGTTTTAAATAAGTGTAAATTTAAATATTTAAATAAACAATATGACGAATTGATTTATTGCACTGAGCGAATTATTGATATTTTTAAATGTTCAGTAAATATGTTTCAAAAAATTGATTTCTATAAAATTGACCTACGAATTATAGGCTTGCCTGTTCTGAATATTAAAACTGTAGATTATGAAATAAATTATTTTTACATATACACAAGGGATTTAAAAATCACCCGGTATTTATGATGTATAATACTGTTGTCAATAATTTTGAAAATATAAAATGTTTTTAAAAAAAGCTGAATTGATGATATCAAATCTTTACAAAAATAAAAAAGTGTGTGAGACAGAATTTAGATAGAAAAAATTCTATTTTAACCAAATCATTTATATAATATAACATCGATCAAATGGAAAAACTGATAGAGGATTCCGACGATTATATTAATGCTATTCAAAAAAATCGGAATATTTTTCCGAAATAAATTAAAATTTTTATTTAAAACTAGGCTTTGAACAACTGCACGGAACTAATACATTCAAATAAGTTTTATAGTTTAGTATGTTTACAACCTTAAATTTAAGAATTTTATTCTGTTATTTAAATAGTATCATTATTAAGATATTAATTTAGAGGGTACATACATTATTTTTATCCATACAGGTATATTCATACAAAATGTAAAATATACAGCCTTTTTGAATGCATTGCATTTTATTTCTTAAATAGTTTTTGTATGTAAATATTAAAATAAAATTAATTGTGCAGTTAATCTTTATGAAATATTGCAAAATTATGAACTGTTGATCAGACATAATTACAACATTTGAACAATTGATTCAAACCAATACACTAACAGAATATAGTACTCTTCATGTTATGTGTGATTATTTAGAAACATTTTTTCTAAAGGTTGTGAAAAATGATTATGAGTATTTAGGTTTCAATGATTTGCCTAGTAAACTTTGATTTTTTATTGAAGACTTAATAAAATATTGGATATATGTTATTATAAAATAATTAATTTTTCCTAAAAATATTTGTAATACGACAAATTTTTTTTTTCAAATTAAAGTATTTTACATTAGCTTTAATTTAAGATATATATAAAAGTGTCAGACCTTCCGGAACATTTTCAAAAGTTATGTTGAAAAAGTTAATTTTTTGTGAAAAAGTTGTCATTTTAAATCCCCCCTGTGGACAGAAAAAAGGTCAAATTTACAAAAAAAATATTCCAAATGATAAGTAAAGACATCAAGCATCTATATAAAAAAGAATTATATTGATATGTTCATTTTTAAAAAAGTTACAGCATTATTAAGTTAAAACTATAAAAAAAAATTATTTTACAAAAATCGTAATTTTTTATTAACTTTGATGTCATCTTTCTCCACGAAGACAAGTTCAGAGGTCAAATTTTTTTTTTTCAAATTAAATTACATTACATTAGCTTTAGTTTAAGAAATATATAAAAGTGTCAGACCCCCCTGTGGACAGAAAAAAGGTCAAATTTACAAAAATATACCAAATATACCAAATAATAGGTAATGACATCATGANAAATCCCCCCCTGTGGGCAGGTTAAGTGTCAGATTTACAAAAAAAATATACCAAATGATAGGTAAAGACATCAAGCATCTATATAAAAAAAAATTATATTGATATGTTCATTTTTGAAAAAGTTACGGCAGTTTTTAGTAAAAAAAATTGAAAAAATTTCGAAAATTAGCGATTTTTAAATTTGTAATTTTTTTGGAGGTTCCCCCTATTTACGGGGAACGAGAGAAATTTTTTCAATTTTGAAGGGTAATGTCTTCGACTAGATATAATTTGTGATCTTTTGACGTATCATTGAAAGAAATCCGTTCTGTGAGAGCTGAGAAAAAGTGGTAACAGACAAAAAAAAAAAAATAAATAAACACATCATAGTAAAACTAATACCTTCTAATCTTCGCATCGAAGCTAAAAAATAACAAATGTTTTCATATTTTTAAAGATCTTATATCACAACTATATAGTCTTGTATTAGTAATTAGTTGTAAATTAATTTTAGTTATGAAAGTTTTTCAAAATAATTAAAATCCATCATAAGGTGCAAATTTTACATTAGGAACATAAAATTGTTTTAGCTAATTTTTGCACATCCCTAGCATGTTGAACTAATATGAATTCTTCAACTATAAATGAAGCACGATTATAAACAAACCCAGCACAGTGGGATTGCGGCACAGTGAGTACGTGGCTTAGTTGGGTCCAGTAAAGATTTAATCTGACAGTGATTAAAATCACTATTATAAGAAACGCTTTGATGCAAATCTGTAGATAGTGTTTAATTTAAAAAAATTGATGGATAATTACAAAAGCAACATCAACTTTTATTTCCTTAAATACATCCAGATTAGTAATTCTTTTACTTATATATTATATAATTTTTATAATTAATTGTTTTCAAATTATTATTGATTTTTAATATATTAAAAGTAATAATTTTTAACCTATTTTTTTTTTGCCCTTTAAAGTGAAATTTTATAATGGAAAAAAAATGAATTAATTACCATAACTTTTAGCTCAATTTGCAAGTTTGAAATTGACATCATTAAATAGAAAAAATGGTATTGTGAAGATTAATATGCAAGCAGGAAATTTTATATTTTCTATTTACAGTAAATTTTTTATTTCATCCATTTTTAAATTCAGGTGAAATTAAAAGCCTTTTTTTTTTTTAATTTATGATTTATATAGCAACATGTTACGAAAAAATTTGGAATGTTATAGACTTGTAGTAGCGCACAATCATTTGACGTATTGTTGAAAAAAGTAG